CCCCCCCCCCCCCCCTCCTTCCCAGGAGAGTCTCAAATGAGCTAAATATTCAGCTGATGTAAATCGATGTTGTTCCAGATACTTTTAGACATGATATACTGCATTAAATCAACAGTCAGCCTTCTACGACTGACTCCATCACTCTGCCTGGCTGAAGCTGTAATTAAAGTCTGTGTTGCTCAGGAGTCAGTACCCAGCAGCCTCGGAGGATTAATTAGGTCTGATATTTATTTCTTTTGATACAAAACCCAGATGTGTGCAGTTAAGCCAAAAACCATAGGGAGAGCCATCCTGCTTTTTTTTCCAGTGGACAGAGGAAAAGCAGTGTTGCCCACCCAGAATTAAAGAACAGAAGCAAATAATTATCATCATGGAACAATTTGGCAGCGGCAAATAATCTGCTAAGCCACTTTACCTGCCTGATTATGAAATAATTCAGATGACCTCAACTTTTTTTTTTGTGGTTGTTGTTACCAAGAATTGTAAATATATATATATATATATATATATATATATATATATATATATATAAAAGTGTGTGTTGATTTATTTGTCTAAAAGTTGGGAAGAAAAATATGGAGGGAATAGTCTTGCCCTCTATGGTTATAGAAAGAAATCAGCTTGTATTTCACTTTACGTTCTTCAATGTGTTATAAAAATACCTGCCCATTCAGTAAAGGGCTTACCTTAAAACTAATTAATAAGGTAAATAGATAGTTAAAACACTCTATATCGCGAGCCAAGTGTAGTACCACCCTTGGGTCCCACTATGGAAAAGACATCTCCAGCAGGAAAATGCAGTTCAAGTTTTATTCTTAGAACGATGTAGGACTGAGGACATTTTTGATGTGGAGCTTTGTGCTGTGGTCACTTCTCTGGCAACACGATCTCCCTCAGAAAATTCACTAAGTCAGGCCAGCATCAGCTGAATTCACGTGAATCATGAAGCGGCTTCATAGGACAGCAGTTTGCGCAGCATTTCTTATTCGGCCTTTTCTTTCAATGGGGAAAAAAAAAATCCAATGACACAGATATAATTCTGATTAATTTTTTTTTCATTATAAAAAGAAAAGCGGCAAAAAGGGATGGTTTCCAACCTTCAAACTAAACATAATTTTTGGTGTGTGGGGTTTGTTCATTCCCAGTTCACTCCTCCCCTTCTTTTCCAGTGACAAAATGTAAAAAGTAAATCTTACATTTTGTTTTGGGATCACCCCAAACTCCAAAATTGAAAAGAAATATGGAAAGATCAGACCGTTATGAAATTTCTCCCCTTATTACCACTGGAAGAAAGCTCTGAACATCTTCAAAATAACATGATATTTTTTTTTTCCCCTAATAATTTCTGTTAGTCATTTCTTGTTGTGTACCTGGGTATTGATTCAGAATAATGAGACTCCCACTGATTTCACTGAGTTTTGGATTAAATCCCTAGAAGAGATTCGAGCCAGTGATTTAATGATAAAAGACTGGAAAGCCCATTCCTTTTCCCTGATGCAGCTAGCCGACATGTTAGGCTGGAGATACGCAACATTTTTCCCCTCTGAATAATTCCTATAGAACTTGGTGAAGGCTTTTTCTCTCTTTCTCACTGGTTGCACCAGTGCATTTTACGGTATCTTCTTATATTTTGGTTTACAAGGGAAAAAAAAAAAAAAAAGGCTTGAAAAGAGTAGAAGAGAGTAGAAGAGTAAAAGATTATTATTTTTTTTTTTAATGTTTCTGATATTAGCTTTTCAGGTAGACTGTCAAAAGCAGGGTTTTGCATGGTTTCCTGGAGCATTTCCTTGCTCCTTTGCAGCTCGTTAAACTCCATTTTTTTGTTGTTTTTGTTGGGGGGTTTTCAGCCCATCTATGGGGCATCTCACAGGTCTTCACAGCTCCAAATGTCAGTTGGAAAAACAAGCACTCTCTATTTAGCTCCCCCAGCTGATGCAAGATACAACAGGACTCAGGCAAAAGGGGGAAAAAAAATAACATTAAAAAAAAAAAATTAAAAAAAGGTCAAACCACTGTATTTGGAGTTAGGAGCAACTGCTACTGGTAGGTGTACTAGTCCTCCTCCCCTTCCAGGTTCTGGAGAACATCAACCGAACTGACCTCAGCGAACCGGTACGATGTCCCTCTCTGCTCTCCCCAGGTCTCTGCTACGCTTAATACTGTCAGAAAAGTCTCCGGCAAACATTTGTAATTGCAGGGAGAAAGAACACTGCTGTCTTTATTTTTTCTAACTTGACATCTATCAAATTTAGTTTAAGTGTTCCCCTGGGTCAGTTGAGTTGCGGAGCTATAAACTAAAAATAATTAAAATAAAATATTAAAAAAAAAAAGCCAACCTCAAGTCTGCTTGCCAGGAGCATATCGTTGGGAGTTAACAGCTCTCAATCACGTATTTCAGAGTGTTGGAGTAGCTGAAATAAGACAGGGAGGCTTAATACAACATAAAACCGTAATTCTTTGAATTTTGTTGATACAGGCTTGCTTCTTGCACTTCAGGACAAAACTGGGACAGGCATTCAGAACCATTTTTTTTTTTTTTTTTTTTTTTTTTTTGCTTTAATCCTACAGTTGTTAATATAAATTTTATAGGACTAGCTTAATGAAAAGGAAAAGCAGGGGAAGGTAGAAAGAGTCTTTCTGATTAATATCTCGGATAATTAAAACCTTGCTCTGACAATTCCTGTAAGACAGAAGACAAGTTACCTTTTCATACACTATAAGATGACTTTGCCAATTTATTGACCCCAGCTGATGTATCAGCGATCACCAAAATTGGAAATTCTAGTTACAATGACTTAAAGTTTGGCTTAAACCCGACCAGACAGACAGCATGTTCCCAGACTGGTCACATTCATAAATGTCATAAAAAACATACTTGTTCTATGACATGCATGAAATAAAATTCTCGAACAAGACATCTCTAACCAGAAAGGCATGAAGCAAAAATCTTTAACCACGTGACAGTGAATGAGGGATGCTAAAAATGGGATTTTGACATTGGTGGACTGCTGAAGCAAAGGTTCTCCAGGCATAGATTTAACAGCAGTTTTTATTATTTTTATTATTCTTATAGGCCATAGAAACCATGTAAGGTAAGACCAAAAAAAAATCTGTCAAAACATAGTTCAAAATTTTTGTGTAAGCTGTTCCAGTGCAAGTTTAGAGAGAAAAAACTAGGTCAAGGATCACGTTCGGGGGATCTGAATAGAATCAGTCATCAAGAGATGCAAAATATGCAACTAAAGAATTAACCTGGGTTGTCGGAGTCCATCTGCACTTAACGTTTTTGTTATTGTATTACTATATACGTATTACCATGATGTAGCACCTGCACATTAATTATAAGTTTCTTTTTACACCCAGTGAAAAAAAGATTTGAGTTCATCTCATCTTTTCTACTGTAAGCTTGTTATCATTGAAAAAACACTCCTTTCTGGAAAATGACATTTTTTTTTTTTTACAGAAAGTTGGCATTATCGATACTTTTATTTTTCTTTTAAAAAATCATTGACTTCATGTTTCTGCAAACGCTGTTCAATACAACAGGATTGTCTATTTGAAAGTTATAAAGTTGAGAGGATTGCCTGCATTCAACCTTAAAAAGTAGAAGATTCATCTTTTCAAGCCCTACAAAACAGGAATAATTTAAATTTTTTAAATGTGGCATTGCGACTAGCTCTAAATCAAAACCAGACACGATATCATTGCTTTGTTCTTGTCAAAATTTCGGAATAACGCCCTCCCCAGCTTTAAACTGAGTCTGCATCTCACCTCCAAAAGTGATTGCACTCCTCGGATACAAATTGCCTCCCCGAAACGTGGGGCCAAGCTCCCTTGCAGAGGGGATGCCCTGGAGTCAAGGGAGTTACGCCCACGGATGGTTTGGTCCATAGCTAGCCGAGGATTTGGAAATGAAATGTGCTCCAGCTTACAAACTAGAGGTGGTTGGGAATTTTCCAAGGTACTTATTTGGCGGG